AAAATCACAGCTATAGAAATGGCAGAAGGAGCTCCTCGTAAGTGATTGGATATTGTCCTTTGTTAAATAGCTAGCCTAAACTTCATGGACACATTCTGTCCTGCTAGGTGAAATTATCTCATGCTTGCCGATGACGTGTAGGCTGGGTTCAGTTCGGACTGCCCCTTTTCAAATCGTTAGTGATTGACTCGTTTCCTGTCCATGCTTCTTTGATCACCCTTTGTTCTTTTGATTCTCTCCTCCTTTTTTCATTCCTTGCCTGCCTTGGGGAAGATAGGGAAGCCAAATGCTTTCTTCTAGAGCAGAGGTCAGTGATCCATGCACATGGATATAGATGAGCAAGAGTGATTAAAGCTACAGTATAAAAGTGGGACAGTTTTAGTTCTGGGACTTCTCTAGAGAAAAACGTCCCTTAAAAATGATGAGGGGTTCCCCTTCATCCTATAGGTCCAGATGCAGGATTCCTACAGGGGATAGGCGCCAGTGTCAAAGAAGAGCGAGACACCTTCACAGTATCTCAGTGGGCTCATCCACCTTGTTGGCCTTTCCATCAAGGACCCATCAATTCTCCATCGCACTGCGCCTCGGGCAGTCATGCAAAGTGAAAAGGCCACTGAAACGAAGCCCAGTCAGATGTGACTGGGAGTGTTTCGCTCCCAGCTGCACTGGCAGAAGTGGCTGTAGGAGAGGCCGTGTCGTGGAGAATGGGGCTACGTAGGGGTATAATTTTGGTCTGGGATTAGTGCCTTGTCCACTCCTGAGTTTCACAGTAATTACACCATTCCCTAACCCTACTCCCCCCCCCCACACACACACACCTGAACAATTTTTGAGATCTGTGGAGTGAAATCTCTCCCCCACCCCAGCAGAACAGCAAAAATACTCCAGCCCCACGTCAGTCACAATTCCGGTTAGCGTCCAACATCTCCCCTCTCTTGCTATTTTCTTGCCCTTCTAGACACTCCTGCAGCCACATGGCATCACAGCAGCCCGTCCACATGCTTCTGGCCTTGAAATTTCTTTGAATATTATCTACCTGATATAAGATAGCAGCTGTAGACTGCTGTTTAGATGCAGATTCCTGGTACGTAGCTCTTGTGCAATAGGCTGGGTGGGTGCCTAGGAGCGGAAGGCATGTGGGATGTTCTTCAGCAGAGGGGTGTGAATACAACAGGGGTGCTTGGTCATTGCTGGACGGGCTGGAGGGGATCCTATTTGCAGCCTAGGATCTGGCCTATCCTACAGTGCCTGGGTTGTGTTTATCACCCACTCAAGATACAAGCCAGGCAGAGCTCCCCTCCATGCTGGTTTTGAATGTAGCTGGTCAGCTATTGAGGGGAGGGAGGTCAAGCAGCGTTCTAAAGCATTTTTGCAAGCCGTGCACCAGGCTAGCTAGAGCTTAGTCATCAGGCACGTGAGTCTTAGAGGATATTTCTTATGGTACCAACCTTCTCCTTTTGCCCCACATTTCCTCAATTCCGTTGTGTTTGTTGTATTTTCACACGGGCTAATTTTAGTAGGCACGTTTTAGGGAATAGTGTAGTTTTGTTACTTGGGTAGCACCAAGGAACCCCAGTCCTGGACCGGAATTCTGTTGCGTTGGGTGCCCAGAACAAAAAGATGGTCCCTGCCTCCAAGCAGCTTACAACCCAACTATCCGACAAGACAATTTGTGGAGCCAAAGGGACAGATGTCAGAACACAAGGAAACAATGAGACAATAGAGCCTGATTCTTCTCTCACCCGTTCTACACGGGTGTGATTCCATTGCCTCTAATAGCATTACGTTACATGCAAGGGTTGTTTTTCCCCTGCTCTTGTAGGGGTATTTGCACCAGCTCTCTTCAAGTTAGCATGAGTGGGAATAGCCGTGCAACTACAGCCGCACGAGTATCAGCAGCTGAGGCACGGCTTAGCCGTGCCAGCGGTGTGCCCACCTATTTCAGGCAGGTTTGTACTCCGCACAGCTAAGCCATGTCTCTGCTGCTGCTGCCCGTCTGCTGCTGTTGATGCTCACATGCTCACACTAGCTCTGTAAGAGCTCGCAGGAGAAGGTGGAAGTAAGCAGAGGAATCGCCTCTCTAACTCATAGTAGATGTAACCACAGAGTAACTTCTGACTTACCTCAGGTATGTGAGTGTCATGAGGCCTGATTGTTCCCATCCGAGTCACTCCGCCTGCAGCAGCATTTTGCGTGGGAAGCCTGCCACCCGCACCAAACCTGACACATTGGGAGTGTTAAGTGAAATGTGCAGGGTGGACTTCATGGGACAGGACAGTATTTACTTGCTAGTGTGGTGTTCGGCGTTGCCTCGGTACAACAAAAACCAGAGCGGGTGTATCGATAAAAACCAGCATACGCAACGCAGTGATGGGATCTGCTCAGGAAGCACAGATGGGTCTAATAAGTGGGTACAGAGAGGCCTGAAATATAGTGTAACCAAAATACGTTCTGAGCCCGTATGCCCCAGCGGAGCAATTTGTCGATTCTCGTGCCAGGTTTTTCCTCTTCCTTTCTCTTATGCCACACGCTACAGAGCTAGGAGGCTTGTAACCATTCAGTCTATTGTTTATCTCAGCTGTACATGAGGCACATTAGAACAGATACACAATTTGTGCCAGAGTTTGATTTTCCCAATAAGGTGCATTCTTTGCCCTTTGTTTTACAATGGAGTCCTTCCTTTCACTTCATCCCTCCCTGCATCTTTATTTTGCAGTGTATGGCCTGGCCCACCCCTAGCCCTCTTGTGCTGCAGAGATTTTCCTCCACTTCTGGGAAGGACCCTTCCCTCCTTTTAGAACAGGAATAATTTTAAGAGGCGGCGACTTCTCAGATCAGAAACAGCCCCCCCACACACACACACCCCTCGCTGGGAGTGTGTCTGAAGGGTCGAAGTACAGGAGACGGACGGCTCTGCTTTAGTGCACTCTTCAATCGCTTGTGTTTTCCTTTGTAGCCCTCTGTGATATGCATCCCATGAGAGCGCTCTTCCTCATTCCACGAAACCCGCCCCCAAAGCTGAAATCCAGAAAATGGTAAAGATATTTTATAAATATGTTTTAGCAGCCTCGGGCTCCTGTTTGCGCTTTGATGTCTACAGCTCCCAGACTGTGATCTTATCAAATCTTACAGTGTGAGGTCTGGTCTACGCTGCTATTTCTGCTGCTGATATGATCTCCTCTGCTACTGAGATGTGCTCAGAGTGCAGACACATTTCTACTGGAGAAGCAATGTCGGCCCTGGGGCAAATTGTCCCAATTTGAAACCCAGCTGAGCTGCTCCAGTACCCGTTGCGCTGCATTGGTGTAAGCTGTACCTGTGCTAAGGGCTTTCACTGGTGGCTGAGATCCAATGTAGACGTAACCTACATGGGCTTGCTTTGGTCAGTATTTGGCAGAAGACCTCTAAGGAAAACCCAAGTAGTGTTGGTGGGCCAGCAGGTGGCTTTGTGTCCAGATACATCAGCCGTGAACATGTTCCCTAGCTTGGGTTTAGTAGGGAGACATACAGTCTTTGCCACATATGGTCATAAAGGAGGCCATGGGACTTTTTGAAAGAGTCGCAGTGATAGTCTTATATTCTAGCCCAAATCCGGTGTAGTAATTACTGCCTCTGTATATTTCCCCTGTTGTTTCAACTGGATATAGGGCAGGGGTGGGCAAGTTACATCTCTGGATCTGGCCCACCGACACCCTGCCGGGACCCTCGGGCACCCAGCAGCCACTGTTTTAAGAACAGGGCTGCGCCATGTGGCTCTCTGCTTTAGAGGGAGGGGGAGACTTTGTGTGATCTCCCTGGCCCTAGCCCAATCCTCATCTCCTATTGGCCGGAAACAACCAGCCAATAGGAACTGACCCCAGCCAATCTCTCCGCTCCTATTGGCCGGAAAAAAACAGCCAATCGGAGATAAGAGATTGGCCTCAGGATGGGGGCAGCACAAGCCTCTCCCACTTCCCAGAGCTGAGAGCCACATGGAGGGAGCAGCCCGCAGTTTAGAAGCGATCTGGGGCTGCAGCAGGCAGGGAGCCCAGCCTGCGTTGGGGGTGCTGCAGGGCTGCTGGCCGGGAGATGTTTAGGAGCCTGCCTCTGGGACTCCTGCCCCTCCTGCACCCCAGCTCACTTCCCCAAGCCACCATCCAAATCCTCTACACTCTCCCTGCTCCGGTCACAACTCCCTCCCAGATCCTGTACCCCTTCCAACACCCCTCCCCCAGGCCAGAATCCTCTCCTGCACCCAGATCACAACCCCCTCCTTCATCCAAACTCCCTCTCAGACCTCACATTGTGCGGTCCTGCATCTCAGTCCCTGACCCTGTGTGCCTTTCTGCACCCAACCTCCACCCTGGACCCCACACTCCCTCCACAGAAAAGTGTGGCCCTTGACCACTTTCCAAAATCCTAGAGTGCCTCCCCCCACTAAAAATTATTGCCCACCCCTGATATAGGGGAAGAAATTCTTCCTTTAGTAATACTGATGTGACTTCACAGTAACAGAATTTATCTAGAATTCCTTGCTCCGTGTCCTAAACTTTCATATTGTGATACACTGATAAAAACTCCTGGGCTATGTCTACACTGCCCCCATTTTGCGCCAAAAATATGCAAATGAGGCGAAGCGTGGACTATCACTGCACCTCCTTTGCATAATTAATGAGGCTCCGTTTTTGCGCAAGAGGCTTTTGTGCAAAACCCCCCTCTTGCACAAGAACCATTCTTTCTGAAAAAAATGCAGAAGAACGGCTCTTGCGCAAAAGAGTTTTTTTGTGCAAAAAGGAGCCATGTAGATGACTCCTTTTTGCGCAAAAGCCTCTTGCGCAAAAACGGAGCCTCGTTAATTATGCAAATGAGGCACAGCAATATTTCACGCTTCGCCTCAATTGCATATTTTTTGCACAAAACGGGGGCAGTGTAAACATAGCCCTGCTGTATTCCACCCCAGACGAGGCTGTGCATCAGTGCTGGCCAAACGCAAACTGCAAATGCAGCTCCTTGGGACCCTGCAGGGTGAAAAGTGTTGTGTAAATTTAAATGGATTCTTTTTCCCATCTGATTTTGTTTGTGGTTGCTTTCTCCCCTCCCTCCCCAGGTCCAAGAAATTTCTTAATTTTGTTGAAAGTTGCCTCGTTAAAAATTACTTGCATCGTCCCTCTACTGAGACTTTGCTTAAGCATTCCTTTATTCGAGACATGCAGAATGAGCGGCACGTGCGCATCATGCTGAAAGACCACCTGGACAGGACCAGGAAGAAAAGGGGAGAGAAAGGTAAGGTGACAAATAATGCAAACATAGGCCCTCCTCTTGCACAGAGCCCTATGGAAGGCAGCAGTGCACTGTGCAGACAGTCAAATTCTGTCCCCTTTGAAGACAGAGAGCCTTGCAGATGTGTTCAGCGGTGCCAGGGTTTCAGCCGCGGTGCATGTCTGCATGGGGCTGATTGCAGGGTGAGACTTGAGGAGGGTTCAGCACTTACAACTGGACCCAGATTTTCAAGAGAAATCACCTCCCATGAAATCACGCCTCCAGGTTTTCAGAGGAGCCCGGTGCATTAAAATCAGGGTGTAAATGTCTCTACAAGAGTCTGCTTTTCAGGAAGCAGGCATCCCCATTGGACCCAATTAAAAGAAGTCCAACAACAGTAGCAACAGCAGCAGAAAGGTGTTTCAAAACAGGCTTTACAGCACATGATGGGTGGGTGTTTGGAAGCTTGCACTGCCCTTGCCCGCCAGGCTATGCCTGTTTTATCACCGAGGCAGTTCTTTGAAGTTTTAATTTGACCCCAGCAAGATCAACATCTTTATTTCCAGCTAGGCTCCGTCTTTATTTTCAGAACCTGAGCTCTTTTGAAAGTCTGGGCCCCAAGTGACTAAATCACATGTAAGTACAGCCACACTGGGTCAGATCAAAAGTCCACCTAGCCCAGTGCCCTGTCTTCCAACAGTGGCTAACACCGTGTGCTGTCAGAGGGAACGAACAGGACAGGTAATCAAGTAATCCATCCTCTTTCGCCCATTCCCACAAACAGAGGCTAGAAGAGATCAATGAATCGATTTAATTGATTTACTCCTTCTTGGGCTTCCAACTTCCTCATTTGTCCAAAACCAAGAATCTGAGTTTGTAACAACTTAAACTCCAACTTTGTTCTCTAGAGCAAAATTTAGAAAAGAATCTGGTTTGGAACAAAGGTTTGATTTTGAACAAATAACCATATGTTGTACAATATTGGCTATGCAGCATAGAGTAAGAACCAGGGTCTAGTGGCCACTCAGCATCTGTACCTCTCTGCCTCCATTTGGATATTTTATATCTCACAAGAGCATTGTGAAAATTAGTTGAAGATGAAAGCATGTTTGTAAAATGTAGTGAAAGTTAAAAGTGCTGTATAAAGTCTAAGCATTGGTTTGACACAATGAGATGTTTCGTGTCTGAAATGAAACATCTGTTGCAAGGTGTAATTTACTTATTTAAATAATAATAATGCATTCTATAGCACCTGTCATCTGACGATTAAGGCATTTTGAACAGTAGCAAACATGAGTAGGAAAACAGCTGATTAGAAGATTACACATCTGCCCCTTGTGAAAAAGCGAATGATAATAATGACAGAAATGCTTGAAAATTATATCGGGGGGAGTAGAAGAACGGGGAAGGAATTCTACTTATGGTAAGCAATGTTGTGGAATTATTATTCGTTGTACACATAGCCCTGGTCTCCACTAGGGAGTTATTTCGAAATAACCTCCCTTGTTTAGAAATAATAAGCAGAGCGTCCTCGCTACCAAGCTCGTTATTTCTAAAGAAGGGGCTGATAATTTCCAAATCTGTACTCCTGCTTTCCTGAGGGAATAGTGCTTATTTTGAAATAGTTCTTTTGAATATTTCAGTAGTGTGGACACGTTGCAGGTGCTATTTCAAAATAACGACCCTCCAGTGCTTCCTGGGGCTCTAAGTCGAGGTAGCACATCCGCCATAACGGAACCTGTCTCAGACTAATTTCAAGGTTCTCCCATAGTGGGGACATTCTATTTCGATTTTGTTATTTCTGGAGTTATTATTTCATATTTAGTTATTTTGAAACACTTTCCTAGTGTAGACATGCCCTTGGTGGCTATAAAAACATTGCAGAGACCCACTTTCACATTGTGCCCAGCTGTAACTAAAGATGTTGATCTTGTTAATTATGCCTTCAACGGACTGCCTTCTTGATAAAAGTTGGAAAGAACTTCAGAGTTACAACTTTGCTTCTTTGTGAGCTTCCTCTACTAAAGCTCAAATTAACCAGTCAACAAGACATTTCTCTTTTGTTCTTCATTATTTTTATTTTTCATATGAGTTCAGGGGCAGATAGTCTGAAGGCCTCTGTTCATCCACAAGACGGGTGTAGGTAGCATGGCGGGCAACAGCAGTGCACATTTCCAAACACCCTTCTGCTAATGTGCCTCAACTCCTGTTCTGAGGCACTCTTCTGCTGATATTGCCACCATTGGTGGACTTCTTTGAATTGGTTCCAATGTGGACGCTGGCTTACAAAACGCAGACTCGATCCAGGAAACCCATTGCATGCAGACCACTCAGTGGTGGCAACTTTCAAATTATTTTCCCAGTGCCTATTGACTTTCCCAGGCCAGCTGAGCTGGGTTTGAATGGGTGACCTCACATTGAGAAACTTGGTAACCCATTTGTAATCTCCTGAACCATCTCCTTCTTCTACAAGATCTCCATTCGGACGTCTCTCTTTTCCCTGTTAAGACTCTTCAGATCTGATCCAAAATCCACTGAAGTCAAAATAAACCTCCCCTTGGTTTCACTGAGTTCTGACATCCTACAGTCATGTGATGTCATTTTATAGAACCATTTCTTAGGTTAGTAGTGGGAGGTAACGTACGCCTTATCTGGGTTTGTATTGCTTTCTTTTTTAGAGGAAACAGAGTATGACTACACTGGAAGTGAGGAAGAAGATGATGAACTGGATGAAGATGAAGGAGAACCAAGGTTAATTTTATTAGCTGTGTGTAAAATTGGACTAACCAACCATGTTCATCAGACATCTCTCCTCAGCTAGATGGGTTGTCTTACCATAGCTTAACCCCCTAATCGTCTGTGGTACCCCCTTAGCAATAATTGGTTTGTAGCTGTTGCATCTAAATGTTGAGTGTGTGGTGTCTGCAATATGTTTTCGTAATTCCCTAGCAGCAAGGAGAGAATGTCTCAAACTAGGAAGCAGATGATCAGCTTCAGTCTGGATTTTGTAGCATTGTAAATACCGAAGCGTGGCCAGCATACAGAGAATGATTTATTGAAACATTTACATGTGTTAGCGAAGGCCGCAAGCCCTTTCCTGGTGACATTTTGTACTTGCTCTGCAGCTTTAATGTTACAGTGAGTCTTACAGAAACTTCCCTTTTGTTTCAGCTCTATAGTTAATCTCCCCGGTGAATCGACGCTCCGCCGTGAATTTCTGAGGCTGCAACAGGAGAACAAAAATCGGTCTGACCCTCATCGACAGCAGCCGCCACTGAAGGACCAGGAGAAATACAAAAAGCAGCTGCTGGCAGAGCGACAGAAACGAATCGAGCAACAGAAAGAGCAGAGGAAGAGGCTGGAGGATGTAGGAAATGGCTTGTATTTGTAACCCTCGTATATCCATCAGTGACACATGAAACTGTGCCAATTGCAAGAATAGGTCTTGGTAGGGAAAAGAGGCGAAGTTAAACTCTCCTCGCCAGCTGATTTGGAATCTTTAACCCTATAAAATGTGTGGCTTCTCATCATGGAGATGAGAAGGTTCTCCCCACTTCCTGCTAACTCCTGCCTACGGGCTCTGGGAAGTAGCAGGCTCTGACTTGACTTCTGGAATGAGCAGGCAAAACAGAGGCGGAATTCTTATTCCATTACCCTTGTGCATAGTCCAAGTTCAAGCCTTTACTTGGGAGCCCAAACTGCTGGCATCTGTGATAGGATTGACACCTTCTCGCCTCTGCTTTCCTGGTGCTAAATCAGAGGCATGTCTTTTCATGGGCCTGTGACGCATTACAGGCCTGGCGAGCAGTACACTGCTGATGCTTGTGAAACACAGAATTGCTCCAACAAAATCTAGGCACTCCAGATAACTCTTCCCTAGCAAAATGCCATGGGCTGAAATAAAGATTGGAAAACTGTGGCTTGTTGGTGATTAAATTCTGATCCCGTTACTGTTAATGGCAAAACTGCCATTGACTTCAGTGGGGCCAGGATTTAATGCCAGAAGCGCTATAGTTATTTTAATAGCAAGTACAGCCATCAGCTTCTGTTGGGTTATATTAGAATCCATAAGTGTCCCTAGCCCCGTCCCCACAGATTATACTCCAGAAACTTAGGTGTTTTGGTCTTCTGTGTTGGCAATGTCTCATTATTATGAGTAAAAGTGTATAGCTAATTGCACCTCTTACTAATAATCTGTAAGGGCGCATCTACACTGCATCGTTATTTCAAGATAACTAGCGTTATTTTGAAAAAACAATGCAAGCGTCTACACGGCCATTCCGTTATTTCGAAATAACGGACGGCTTGTTCTGAAATCTGTGAACCTCATTCTATGACAAATAACACCTATTCAGAAATAGCTATTTTGAAATAAGGCGTGTGTAGACGCTCCACTGCTGCTATTTTGAAATAGCCCCTCACCACGGCCATTCTAAGTTATTCCTCCCCGGTGCTCCCTGGGGCTCTAAATCAATGCCTCCAACTAATTTTGAGGCTTCCCTGCAGTGTAGATGTGCTATTTCAAAATAAGCTATTTTAACTATTTCTAACAGGAATAATTTATTTTGAAATAAGTGTGCATGAAAAGAACTATTCAGGAATAATTTATTTTGAAATAAGGGTGCATGTAGAAATACCCTAAGTGAAGAAGTACAGTTTTAAAATACAATGTTATTTCCTGACCCTTATTCAGCATCAGAAGAGAGAACAAGAGCTCCGAAAGCAGCAAGAATGTGAGCAGCAATGGCCAGAGATTAAGGCAGTTCAGCGGAGAGATGAGAAGTATGAAGATGACCCCAGAATTGTGGACGAGGAAATGTGCAAGGGGGATGGGCAGAGGAAACTAGAAAGAAAGCAGGTATGACATTAGGATTTACTGATACACAGGGCTTGACAAATACGCTTATCTACTTGCCCGTGGAAAACTAGAAAGAAAGCAGGTACGACATTAGGATTTACTATACACAGGGCTTGACAGATACGCTTATCTACTTGCCCGTGGTGAGTAGATTTCAGCCGGTTGCCCCGTTCACCGGCGGTCCGCGCATGTGCAGTGCGGGTCTCGCGCTTTCGCAGTGCGGAGCTGGTGATTGGCTTTCGCCGCGATCATCGAGCTCTGCTGATACAACTTGTGGCTTCTTATGTCTGGCTGAAGTCTTTCTCGGTTCATTAATGGCGTCTCATTCCTATAGGTCAGGAATCATACAGAAATCCCCCAGCTCTCACATGTCTTCCCCAGCATGAAAACCCAAGAGAGGGAGGTGTATGCCAAATCTGGCGTACATCTGGGAATCTTTGTACATAAGTTAGTGAACATGCATACTATACAGTATAAAATTAAAGTAATCCCCATCAGTTACTTTTGACTTGAATAAAAGTATTTATACTATATGCTTCCAACACACACCAGCCAAACCTTAATGTAAATCCCTAGCTCCCATATTTTCTTTCTGAATATAGCCAACCCCAGCTCTCTTTCTCACCACCTAGTCTTATAAAAGAAGCCACATCTAGCATGATCACTGGGTTTTAACAGGTGAATTGCTTTATATTGAACTGGAAACATGGAATCCTTCAAAACGATGAAGGTTAATAAAGTCTCTGGTTTTCGGAAAAGTCATGAGAGTATTAGAAATGCACCAATGAAGAATAGTAAGAGAACGCTGTGTTGCTGGCAGAAGGGCTTTTTTGTTATTATTTCAGTGTATGCTTCCTTTAAATGCAAATACAGGAAGTTATGGTTTATATAAGGTTTCGTCCGAGCCAGGATTCCAGCTATTTTCAAAGGGGACCAAAGGGCATAAGGTACCCGCCTCCTACTGAAATTCAGCTCGCATACGCTGACTACCAGTTGGATTTTTTTTTTAAATGAAAGTGTTAACATCTGCTTGTTTGCAGAAGAAGGCGGAAGACGTGCAACCCAGTAAGAAGTTACATCGGACTCTGCCCAAAGATCAGACCCAACTGCTGTCTCTGCAGCACGACCACAGGCAAAAGAAGAAAGAGCTTCCAAAGAGCTCGAGTTCAGCGGCACCACCTCTGCCAAGCTGTACAAGCAAAGAGGTACCCACGTCTCAGATTGTTACGCTGCTGCTCGGGTAACTCAGGGGAAGAAAATTGACGGTTTCTTGGGTAACCCTTAACCCGGATCTAGCTAAAAGGTGTGTGTGTTCCCATGCGCTATATATCACAGGGAAGCCTCGAGAGCTACCACCTCTCTGTAGAGAACAGGTTTGGTCTCCGTTATTTCTACTCCAAATCAAAGTAGATTTGGCCGAGTGGAGAAGACTAGTTAGATCCTTTCACACAGCTGGTGTGGCCCACGTTCCACAGTGCCACGTAAGCCACCCGGTTTTTCTCGCTGTCATTTCCTTGCCTTCCAGCTAGGGATGTATGAAACTCGTGACATGTGAGATGTGGTGTGGTTCAGTGTCTGCAATTCGTGAGTCTTTAGAGTGCCGCCAGTCTCATTGTTGTTTTTGCTGTAACACGGCTGCCTCTCTGAAATACTCCATGCGTCTGAAGAAGTGGGTTGTGCCCATGAAAGCTCCTGATCCCACCTACATGTTTTGTTTGTCTCTAAGGCCAGGCCATTTGTTGTTTTTTAAAGTTTTTCCAGTTACAGACAAACGCGGCTCCCCCTCTGAGGGTATGTCTACACTACCCTCCTAGTTCAAACTAGGAGGGTAATGTAGGCATACCGCACTTGCAAATGAAGCCCGGGATTTGAATTTCCCGGGCTTCATTTGCATAAACTGGGCGCCGCGCCTAGGAAGCCTAGTCCGAACTACTTAGTTCGTGCCGCGTGTAGCCGTGCGGCACAGGGTTCGAACGAGCAGGGATTTAAAAATGGCGGCGCCCAGTTTATGCAAATGAAGCCCAGGAAATTCAAATCCCGGGCTTCATTTGCAAGTGCGGTATGCCTAAATTACCCTCCTAGTTCGAACGAGGAGGGTAGTGTAGACATACCCTGAGTCTCCAAGACTAGTTCAGATTCACCAGCTTTCTTCCTGTGTCATTTAAATCCAAGCACAAGTCTGTAGACTCCTATTGCCAATGAACAAGCATTGTGACGTGCTTCACAGTTCATTGCTCTTAAACATCTTTAGTTATCTGCAGTGCGGTTGTAAACATGTTGGTCCCAGAATATTAGAGAGACTGTGTGGGTGAAGCAATATCTTTAATTGGGCCTGTTTCTGTTGCTGGCATTACAAGTTCCTGAGCTACACAGCGCTCTTCCAGACCTGAAAAAAGACCAGTGTGTCACTCAAATGCTTGTCTGTTAAATCAACAGTAGTCGCTCCCACAAAAGATATCGCCCTCCTCCATCTCGTCTCTATCTAATTAGTTCAGATGTGCTGGATAATGCACGATCATGTAGTCAGTGACTTACTTTAGACAGTGTCTTGTTTCAGTTTTTTGCTCATTCAAAAAGGCTTTTGCCAACCAAATGGTTTATCTTACTGGTATTTTGTATGAGCTCATCTTTCCATGGAGTCATAGCTGCAGGCTCCTTTGCTTCCTTTAACTGTATATATCATCCCACAATGTTAAGCCAATGGAACTCCCATGTGGCTTAAAGTAGGTGTGTACTGACATGCTTTGCTGGAATGGGAACAGTTTGCCTAGCACTTCGCAGAATCTAGTCCTGGGTGAAGCTCTCTATTGAGTACGTTTATACTGCAACACCATTCCAAATAACTTAGACTGTGTCTACACAGCAGGCAGTTATTTCAAAATAGTGTCAAAATAGTGTCAAACTGGAGGATTTCTTACTCCGACTCTTGTAACCCTCATGGTACGAGGAGTAAGGGAAGTAGGAGGAAGAGGGCTCTATTTTGAAATAAGTGCTGTGTAGATGCTCCCAATTTCGAAATAAGCTCTTTTGAAATAAGCTACGCAATTGACATCACTCAATTTGCATCACTTATTTCAAGTTAAGCCCTGCAGTGTAGATGAACCCTGTTTGTGTGTATGGGCACATGCACTAAAAAGCATCATACTTGCTCCAGTATTTAGGCGAGTATCAGACTATGAGGTTGGCAGATGTGAACCCTGTTTGTGTGTATGGGCACGTGCACTAAAAAGCATCATACTTGCTCTAGTATTTAGGTGAGTATCAGACTATGAGGTTGGCAGATGTTCACAAGGTGGAATGTCCTCCGTTGATGATGAATTACATGAACTAGTTTGCTAGAATGTTGAAATGATACTTTAATACTGCAACAAAAAAAAACCACCCAAGCCGTGATATGAAATCAGTTTAGGGAAGCAAAAGACCTAAGCATGCTATTAGTGTTGCTGTTAGTGAATACAGAAGATGCATAACTCCATGCGAAGTACAAGTTATTACCAAAAAAAGTTTGCTCTCCAAGAGATTTACTGTATTAAGTAAGTAAGTAAATAAATAGTCAAATCTGAATTAGCTCTTTTGGAAGTCAGTGTTAGTTTTGGAAGTCTAGCCAAGGCTGCGTCAGCAGGTTGGCCCACAAAGAGAAAAGTGAGCTATTTACTAAATACAGACCTACAAGAGTCAATAAAAATGTTGTGTCTGTGCTAAACTTCCTTGAAGGTGGAAGAAGAAACGTAGCTGTGTGGAGTGTATGTAACTTTCTGCTTGTGAGATAGCCCAGGGACAAATGCACAGCAAAATGTCAGCTCAAATAGTCATCTGGTTTTGGCATGTGTTCCGTAAATGACCTCTTTGTACTAGAATAAAATGGATTGTAGAATTTAGTTCACATGGTTACTGTTGCATCTTAAGCTAAATATTGAATCCTGACATTACCAGCTGTACATAGCAAGACTCATCTGAAAATATGCAGCTCGTAGAAAAAAAGACAAAGGAAATCAGAAAAATATGCAAATTTCTTCACAAGGACTAATTGTCTCATGTTCACAGTACCATGCTGCAGCCATTGATGTGTTCTTTTTTTGGCAACAGATTATACTTAATCATATTTGTACATAACTATTTTTCTCAAGACTTGTTGGAGGATAATTGCATGGTCTCCCTGCTAAATAAAATCAGTGGAGCTGGTCACTTTTTTTTTTTTTTTTTTTTCGTCACCCCTCGCCTCTCGCACCCCCAGTCCTTGTCCCCTCCTGCCAGGCGCCGAGCCACCGGCTTGTTGTCCTCCTGGGAGTTCGTTCCCAGATCGCACTCTCGAGACGCCGGGGCCGGAATGTCCTCACACGGGCTCCTCGGGTGCGGTCTTCGCGGGGCTCCACTTCCAGTAAGAGTCCCCGAGCCGCCGGACCTGGGTCTCTCGTCCCTGGGCGGGTCTGCGGTGCTCGGTTGCTCCGGCCGGAGCCCTCCGGCTGCTGCTCCGCTGGGGCCGTCTGCGGGGAAGGAGAGAACGCCGCCAGTCCCCGTCCCCTCCTGGGTCTCCCCTCCCTCTCTCCCCCGTCTGCCACCTTTTTGACCCGGCGCGCCAGGTGCGTCCTCGCCTGCCGCCACCCGCGTCCCTCAGGGTCCTACTGCCTGCCGTGGGCGGTGCGTCCACAGCCGCGGTTCCCCCCTTGGCTGGGCGCCTGCTTTGTGCTCCGCCCGCTGGGTAATCGGCTTCTGTGCGCCTCTGTGGGGCTGCGGCTGTCAGTGCAGGGAACGCCTTCCCCGTCACAGTCAGATTTTGGGGGGGGAAGTCAGTTCCTTTTCAATTCTCAGGAGAGTAGCTGTATTAGTCTGTGTCTGCAAAATCAACGAGGAGTCCGCTGCATCTGACAAAGCGGGTTTTCCCCATGAAAGCTGATGCCCAAATCAGTCTGTAAGGTGCCACGGGCCTCCTTGTTGTCGCTGCTTTTCAGAGCAACTCTGTTGGGTGTCGTCATTTTGAAAACCTCAAAATGTTTTGACCATCTCTAAAATGTAGGGCTTGTTGAACTTATCAGTTGTATCGATCTCTCGCAGGCTGTTTTATCCAAAGAGCTGCTGCCTTCTAAACCACAACAAACCTGGATATAGTGATCCTTTTCCAGAGCTCGTTCTGTACCCATCTCATGTTAGGTCCATTAGTACAGGTTGGACCTCCGTGGTCCGGGACTTCTCTGGTCTGGCAACATGCGTGGTCTGGCAGGATCATGGATGTTGCAGGACCAGAGAGCTCTGGTTAGGAGAGGAGCAGAGCCAGCACAGGAGGCAGGGAGCTGGCGGCATGGTGGGTGGTGCTAGAAGCAAAGCCCGGCTGAGAGAATGGAGTCAGCTTCTGGGGCTGGCAGCCAGGACAGGAGCTAGACTGGCTAGCAGAGGAATCAGATTTGGGCGTGGAGCCCCGAGGGGAGCCCGGCCAGGTCTGCTGATGGACCCCAGGAGAGTCCATCAGCAGAGGGGCCAGATTGAATCTTCGCTGGTCTGGCAAAATCCCTCATTTGGGACCAGTCAGGTCCCAAGGGTGCCGACTAGGGAGGTCCAACCTGTACTTTTTAGGAGACTTAGTTAAATGACCGTGACACACGCTTCCTCAAGCCTCAGTGTCTCTGCATCTGTGAGAAAACTAAAAAAAATTGCTCTTCATGACCCCAGAAGCTACTCTGGAAAATTCATTGTTAACGTAGCTGTAAAAAGGGTTGGACTGTCGTGGAATCAGCTACGGGTCATGACTGAATTCTTATTCCCCTTCTGGCCAGAGTATATTAATAATTAATGTTTCCTTGCTTGTAACTGCGGAGAAAGGTGAGGGACTTGTCCTTTATTGATAGGGGGGTACAAAGGATGAAAACCTAGTCCACTCCTATTGACAGCATGGGGCCAGAATTTCACCCAAAGTTCTCAGTATAATTTGGAAGTTTGTTTTTAATAAAGTCCCTTTTCCAGGTCAGAGCTGGGAGACTAGTGGGAATCGTTCTCCGTCATAATTCATCAACAGGCTCTTAGAATATGTTCAGAACAGTTTTAATGAAATTCTTGATGCCCTTCTTAACACAAGCATGAACACCCAGGCTGTGTCTACACTGGGCCACTTATTCCAGAAAATCAGCCGCTTTTCCAGAATAAGCTGCGAGCTGTCTACACTGGCCCTTGAATTTCCGGAAAAGCAATGACGCTCTACTGTACAAAATCAGCTGCTATTCCGGAAAAACTATTCTGCTCCCGCTCGGGCATAAGTCCTTATTCCGGAACACTGTTCTGGAAAAGGACCAGTGTAGACAGCCCAGTAGTCTTTTCCGGAAAAAAGCCCCGATCGCGAAAATGGCAATCGGGGCTCTTTTCCGGAAAAGCGCGTCTACATTGGCCACAGACGCTTTTCCGGAAAAAGGGCTTTTCCGGAAAAGCAGCCTGCCAATGTAGACGCTCCTTTTCCGGAAAAACTGAAAACGGAATAGTATTCCGTTTTAAGCAGTTCCGGAAATTCATGCCAGTGTAGACACAGCCCCAGATACTGTGAGAAGGGCATCAAAATACAGAACTAAAGAAAATAAAAATCTAGACACAGATAGCTAGGGATGGTGTCGCATTAATCTCGGGGTAGCTCTGTGAGACTGTTCCTACACTGCTAAATAAGAGGAAAGACAGAAAGTTTACACTAGAGAACAAATTAGTCCTGTTGAGTGAAACAGAGCTGTAGGGTCAGAACTGTGGGAAAAGCAATTTTGTAGTGAGCAGGGCCTTTGGAAATGAAAGGATCTTTGTACAGTTTAGGGCATTTTCATCTGCCAATGTAGGTGGTGTGGTTAACATTCCAAACAATATAAAATGCTATAAAGCATTTTATTGCTGAGAACCACCTGTGGTAATGTCTACTTTATTGGATTAGGTGACTATCCACCAGAGGCAGAAGGAATGGGCGCAGCAGACCACATATTGCTGCAGCACAAAAAAAGGGGGGGGGGGAATTCAACATAGATTTTAAAATCATGTTGTCCCCGCCTGCTCTGAGATCCCAACTAATAATACCTTGGGCAGCATGAAGGAAAACAAATTGCAATCCAAGCACCTACCAGATGAGGCTTTTGCTTGGCAGGGCCACGCTGACGTGAGTGTTGCTGCAGATTGGAAGCTTAATGCAAAAGGTGAGGCTCAGAGGAGGGCGAATGTATCAGGCTCGACCGTGCACTCAGCAACATGGCTGGAGTTTTCACCCACACGGAGTCCCTTCAAAGTCAACAGGATTCAGCACAAGCATCACACAGTGCCCACCCGGAGCTGATGGCAGGATGGAGGCTGTATCTGATTTTTTCTTTGTATGTTCTTGTTTTCAGGCCGAGGACAGAAAGAAGAAAAATGAAGGGGTGAAGGCTCCTCTCCACCGGGTAGCCGTTCATGACCACGAAGCCACGCCACATGCCAGACTAGGCTCTGGCAGTAGTTCTAGTCCTTGCACCCCAGCTTTGCAAAGAGCTGTTCTTGCACAGGTAGAATATCTTTCTTCCATTCGCAGGATATAGAGCATGGGCCTCGCTTAGGAAGTTGTGGAATCTCCATCACTGGAGATATTTAAGGGCTGGTTAGACAAGAAATATACCAGAGAGAGTCTAGATGGTGCTTGGTCCTGCCGTGAGGGCAGGGGACTGGACTTGATGACCCCTCGAGGTCCCTTCTGGTTCTAGTGTTCTATGATTCTAAGTCCATGGCAGTCTCTGCAGAGGAGGGGAAAGGCCTGTACATCTCTACCCCCTCCTGACATGGGGCTAGATGGCTACCACCCTTAGACTTTGTTGATACCATCATTTCCTCTGAATTAAAAATGGGATGATACCAGGCATTGCAGATTAGGGCTAGCTAAGAGCCTGATTGCACCGAGATCTCTGGCGTCACTCCTACATGTATCACAAAAAGCCTGAGCCAACTCTGGTGTTTTATTTCTTATGGAAAGGTTTTATTCTGTCAGAAAGGTTCACGACACTTTACAGAACAAGTAAAAAAGGCAGGGGCCCCAGAGGCCTGCGACACTGGCAATATTCTTGCCAACCTCGTGAAATATTCTGAAAGCTCACAGGGGTGGATTGCGGAATAGTTATCAACGTCGAGTCGGATTTTGCTCCCATGCAGCGCCTGGCAGGTCTGTGGAGTTCCTCTTGCTGAGTTCCCTCCGTGTTCTTCTGTCACTGGCCAAAGATTTGCCTCACCCTGGAGGAAGCGGGGGATTTTTCCTAGCAACCTGATACAGCCACTAAAGATTCCAGGGAGCCAAGCCTTACACCTTCACACTTAGGCCTAGTCTACACTACACCAGAAAGATCGGCTTAAGGTACGCAACACCAGCCACGCGTTTTACATAGCTAGAGTTGGCTTACCTTAAGCTGGGCCTTGATGCATTTTACATAGCTGGAGTTGGCTTACCTTAAGCTGGGCCTTGATGGCATCCACATAGTGGGAGGCAGATGAAAGCACAGGCTCCCGCTGGCTTCCCTTACTCTTTTCAAAAGGAGGAGTACTGGACGCTGGCGGGAGCTGCCTGCAGCGTTCGATTTAGGGGTCTATACTAGACCCGCTAAATCAAACACCAGAAGATCAACCTCCAGAGTGTCGATCTTCCAGTAAGTATAGACACGCCCCTAGAAGATACTATAGTTCCATTAACTGGGACTCCATACTTGCCTACAGGTTTTTCCCAAGCTCAGGACCTCTGTTCTAAGGGCCTAAAGAAGATGCAGTTTTCAGTACTGCAGATGATTTCACAATATCCAGAATCATTTTTTGTCTATCATAAGTTGTATCACATACCTCTTGCTTCTATTTCTCTTGCTTTCA